CAACCCATACATTGGAGTTTTGATTGTGTTTGAAAAGTTACAGACGGCGAAAAATGATTATTAAAAAGTAAAATTATGATTATCGGAATTCAAATCAAAGTAAATGATATGAATATTTTTATTGTATCATATAACTACATCGGCATATCACATAAAATTTTATAAATTATTATTACAATGCTTTAACTAAGTAAATGAAAAATAAACATGCCAAATTCGCGCAGATTAAGTTATGACAACATTCTTATTTCTTTTTTGTTTTATGAAAATATTAAAATATACAGTTTTTTAAAAAATACTTATTATCTATATCAACTTAATGTACACGTTTGACTCAAACACCTTTATTTTTTTTTAAAAAAGTTATCTGTATTTATAATGAATAAATGTAACATATTATAAAACAATAGCTGAATTGTGCTGATTAAAGAAATTTTATTTTATTTCTTTCAACAAACGAATTACATATTAATTTACTAGAATGCGTAGTTATAAGATTAAGATCATTAATAAGAGGAGAAACTTTCATGTAAAACTATTATTGAGAGATAATAAAGCCACTGCAAAATCCTAATTACAGCACCTACCTCAAAGCAAACCATTTTCTATTATTAAAACAGTTTTATAGAGTTACCCCTTAGTTCTCTTAAAGCTAGCTCCTAAAAAATCGTTTTTTGTGTGTATGTGTTATTTCACTTAAGAATTTTTACTACTTTCATGCATGTTTATATTCTCTTTTGTCTGTATTTATTGAATTAAGGAACATCACACAAAAATATACGAAATGAAACAGTACAGCAATCAACCCAAATGATAATTTTCTGTTGAAATAATCAATATATCCCCCCTCATTTCCCGCCATATAGATACATGTTTCCCAAACAACTTCTTAAAGTATCCGACTACTTGCGACAACTTTTTTTTTGAAAAAATGGAGATTTGGGGATTTTTTTTGTGATTTTCAGATTTATTTAGTATATTTTAAGAAAAAATCGTGAAACTAAAAACAGAATTTTTTTTTATTATTAAAATGAGAAAAGACTGGTGAAAATGTACAAAACAATTACATAAACAAGGCCCGCTCTGTACAGAAAATTTTTGAACAAATTCTCAATTTTTCAATTTTGATGAGTTACTTTGTTACTCATGTTTGAAATGATTTTCAGGATAATAGACATTTTAATTTTTACAAAAACTAGAGCACTCTATCTAAGAGGCTATATGAAATTGCTTAAAAAAACAGTGTTTATATTCACATAAAGGACAGTAAATTTTGAAATAAAACAGTGATTGATAAATCTGAAGGTTAAAACACTTGCTATACAAAACATTCACAAAAAATTTCAGTAAATTATTTTTAAAACTTTTTGAGCAATCGCTGTCCTCCCCGTTTGAGCTTTTCGAGAAAAACACATTTTAAAGTTTGACATCTTATGTAAAGTTATGACATCTGCTTTTACTAAAACACTTATAGTTTTTGTTCTAGATAATGGAAAATAAAAGGCTTGGTATTTTTATTAAGCTAATAAGAGATGGCCTATAAAATACAATCATAAAAAAAATTTGTCAATTTTTGAAAAAAATCATAATTTTAGGGTAGTTGGATACCTTAATGATTCGAATACATAACGGAATATTTCTAATGCTGAAAATAATATCGAATAGATTCCACCCTCATAAACAATAAATAAAAAGTCTCTAAAAATATCTAGAAAATTTCTCTTGCAATCATAAATCTTTTTAATGAATCGATTTAAAATTAAAAGCACTCCCTACTGTCCTTGTAGTGCTAATGATTGGTTGGTTTGGGTATATTAACGTCGCGCGACACGGTTATTAGCAAAGGAAGTCTTCATTTTGAGCCAAGATAAAGTAATGACAATGACACTGTTAGCTCTCTCCTAGTTTCTACATCAGCCAACGTCAGGACTTTGAGTCTTGGCAAATGTTATGGGATTTTCTATAGGATGAATCTTTAGCGTAGTGCTATTGAACATTCAATGAATTGCGTTTTTATCCTGTTCCTTTATGATTTTAAATATAAATTGGGATTTTTTCAACTTACAAAACCCAAAATAAACAATGAAAAAAAAAAATTGATTGGAAATGTCACGAACAGTATTTCGATACACACATCCGTTCAGAATCAATCAAAATTACACCAAAGGCATAAAATGGAATGTGGGATCATATTTACAGAAATAATTGATATGACTTAGCTCCTTTTATTTTTAAATTTAACTGTACAAAAATTGTAAATATTGATTTTCTTCCAAATCAATCAAGTGAACAATAATAAATTTCATACAGTTCGAAATGCATTCTCACATTTTTTGTTCTTTGTGTTGCAGTGATGGTAGGTGCTTCCTCCCTCTCTGTAAGCCTCTTGCTGACGCCGGTGGTGGTAGCCCTTGGACGCCGGAAGAGCCCCCGCCTGCTGGCTATCCTGGGAGGACTAGTGTGTGCCCTGGGCTGTCTCTTCACTTCTTTCGCCTCTCAATTGCACCAACTTCACTTCAGTTGTGGAGTGGTGCTGGGTGCTGGACTGGGTCTCACTCGCAGCACAGCCACTCTCATGGTGGGCCAGTACTTCAAAAAGCGTAGGGAGTTGGTCGAAATTTTCATATTATGTGGCACAGGTACAGGTACAGCCGTAATGCCTTTGCTCGTAGCACATGCGATTAGGTAAACATACATTTCATTCCTTAATAAGATAAAATGTACTATTATAGCCCCCTTTCTCCAAAAGATAATGGTTTCATTCACAAATAAGTGAGATAGTATTTGTTACATTAGGAAATTTATGTTCTAAATATCAGGAATATGACATTCTCCCTTGCATTTTCTGTATGTATCTAATGAAACCAAAAATTTTACAAGGGGATAAATTGTTACTTATTAAATAAATTAAGCTCTTATATTACACGGTGTAATGTACAACCTCTGACAATAGAGTTCGGTGAATGAAGTCAGAAAGGCTAATCTAGCAACACTAGCGAAACAAAACGCTGCTCATACGTAGAGGCAGATGTTGAGCAACTGCCCCACCTTTGTTCAGTTGAGCGTCGTTTCTGTTCCGTGTGAGACTTGTTTTATAAAGTGCTTGTTTAGTGCGTTGGTTCTTAACTGAAGACAAGAAAATGAGAGTATAAAAGATCAAAAGCAGGCACGTTTAGAGGTTTTACAGAATTTTGTCGAAGCGGCAGATGCGACACCAAATTTTTTGAACTGAGGATCAGGCCTGATGTCTCAGGTACGACTCTAAAATGAACTGCATCATCTCGTCGGAAAAAGATCAGAGCAGAAAACTGCCGCATCAAAACGATGGTCATCACCTTTTTTGATAGTCAAGGCGTTATCCACAAGGAATTTCTACTTGAGAGAATGACGATGATTGCGGCAAGGTACATAAAAATTCTGACCCGTTTCGTGAAATGTCTATGCAAGGTGCGACCCCAGTACACACCAGGTTTTTGTTCACAATAATGCTTTCCCTCACACAGATAATAACGTCAAACAGTTCCTGGTAAAAAAGGAAGAGTGCAATGTGAACATCCCCATCTCGCCAGATCTCAATCCTCCAGACTTTTTCCTATTCCTATGACTCAAACTCGTTTTGAAAAGAAAGAAACATTCAACGAAATGTAACGAGGCTTTTGAACTGCATCCCCAAAGAGGACTTCTAGCAAAGTTTCCAGGACATGTGTAGAAGATTTCAGCGGTGCATAGTTGTGAGAGGTCACTCTTTCGAAGGACAGTAAGGTAACTTTCGTTAATACTTCATCTACGTCAGGGCAATTCCCCGAAGTTTATTGTCAGAGGTTGTATAAGATAAACCAACAACGGAATACATTGATTGGTTATTTAGCTATATTCATTTTCTTATTATCTTGTATAGCAAAAAGATTATGTGTTATTTATATTTTTTGTATTACACCATCCCATTTAATACTTGGCAACTTGTAATAATGATCTGGTTTTGACAACCACGGATAATACGTACAGTTTAATTAAAAATAAAATTGGAGTACGAGAGAGATTTCTACATGGGAATAACTCCTTGTATAATTATTAAGAACTTGATAAAGTTACCACTTCTGAGCCTTTTATGCTTGACTGTGTGTATTTCGAGACTTCAAACTAACACCACCAAACACACATTTCCTCACGAAGACAATTTTATAAGATTTCTTAAAAATGTGAGCATTCGGTAATTTCTTTCCAAACAGATGATTAATGTAATAACTGAGTGAGACCACTTACCATCCGCCTGTATTATAACAGGGAATAAATATCATTCATACAGTTTTATAACCTATACAAATGAAAAACAAAATATTAAGTGTATTTATTCTTATATAGAAACTTTTTCAAGAGTTTAAAGCTTAGATTCTGGTGTAGCAGACGCCAGTCATTAAACGATTATTAACGATGTCAAAAATTTTTTACAGAAGGTGTCTTACAAACGGCGAAAAGAACAAATGTGGTAACTAACTGTCCCAAAAGGGAATCTTTCTTTAGTTTAGTTGGTTAGAACGCCATTATATGCCTTGATTATAAGCAGTTAAACCATTTAACGGGTCATTTATTTTGAGTAAAGTAATATTAAAGTATTTTTTTTAATTGAGATTTATTTAAGAAAAGAAACTTTTTTAGCTTATTAGATCAAATTAATTTAATTTTTAACAATTTACAACCACCCTTGGGGGCAATTAAAAGTTAGGAAACTCAATACTTTTTCAATTCCAACTATTAGTTCATTTTCTCCTTATATATATATATATATATATATAGTTCAAATTTTCAGTCGTTAATAAAATACTTTCTATTCATCCATTCAAATTCAAATAAATTTTTAAACTTGTAGTGGTTGACACTTGATATTTAATGCAGTTTTTTTTTCAAAGATTAATTCGTTAATTAACTTAATAAATGAATAAATAGTAATAAACAAAAATAATAGTCCAACAACATATATAGAAATAAAAATCGTTCGTTATGACCCTGAAGCTCAATGGATAGCGAGAGCGAGTTAGACTTCTACTCTAAAGGTCGTGGGTTAGAATCCTACCTGGGATGGCCTAATTTCGGAGAATGTGATATCTTTTTACTATACTGTTTTATTTGAATAATTAAATTCATGAATGAATAGTAACAAACAAACAAAAAATAGTCCAACACCCTATATAGAAAGGACAAGGGAAAACTGCAAGGAAAATCGCTTTCTATTTTGTCACTTAATATTGTCATTCTCTCATATGTATATACATATTTATATTAACTGTAACTATTTAATAAAAAGAACTAAAATAAAAAAAATTATGTTGACCTAAGTAGGAATTGACTTAAAAAAATTTGTTTTATATTACTTATTATTTCTTTTTTTATTGTTGTATACTAATAAAATATATTTTGTGTAAACTCTTCAAACAGGAAAACTAATTGTATATTATAACTTTTTTTTCTCATACATGAGAAATTGCAATATTTTATCTAAAATTTTGGAAAACAATGAGATATACATAAGGAGACATCGCAAGCTGTGCACATATGTCGTGTTCTCTTCTGATGTGTTTTAGTGGAGAAAAAACGACGACGTTCGTATGTATTCCCTAAAATTCGAATATGGTCACCAACTTTATTCAACCTCTCTTTGTCTGGAATCGTTTTTTATTTCTGCGGAAACTTATGGGTATTTCTTTTCGTTTCTGACTAAACAATCTTGAAATTTATTGAGATGCAGATTATAAGGATATTAATCCTCGTTTATATACGCATTGAGACAAAAGAACCATTAATTCAAAGTCTGAAAAACTTTAAACATTAAATTTATTAACATTAAAACATACAGTTAAATTCCCAAACCTAAGCAGATTAATGCAACATTCAATCGTGTTAACATCTTAAGAAACAGTCATAATAATAATCCCTCATTTTCTTGAATAAACAGATCACATGCATTTATATATTAAGGAAGAGCAAACTGATACCATAACAGAAAAGAACTTTAAACAAAGCTTTATGTAAATTAGATGCGGCACGTTTGATAGCGGTTAAACAGCATTTACGATCTGCTCAAACTTCGCTTAGTGGAAATTCCAGGTGAGATAGAAAATTGAGGTAAAAGCAGGTGGGTTTATTTTTCAAGCAAATTGTCGTGCTAGCTGAAAAAAAAACCTAGTTGGTTTTGAGACTCCTTGTCACTTATACCAGTGTTTCTCAAACTGTGGGGCGTGCCCCATGGGGGGGACGTAAGCATATTGAAAAGTCGAAAACAAAAGATTATATAAACAAATTATTAACTTACTGAAAGTAAACAAATACATTCTGACATAATAAAAAATAAAATACTCATTTACGCTGTAATGCACTTATAAATGTATCAGACTGTGTACAATCTATTTTTTAAGTAATTTAACAATACTAAGTTAAGGACAAGTTTAATAATTGCCAGCGACCCCATGGATTTGTCATATATAAAATTATATGCCAGCATTATCACTTATCTGGATAATTTGTACGGCTTATATAATTAATCCCTTAAATGCCAATTAAAAATTACGTGATTCGTTCCCCAATACCACCGTTTAGCACATAGATAAGCGTACGTCGTATATTAATGGGGGAGGGGGTAGAAAAGGAATAAATAATCGAAAATTCTCTGAAACAAGTAAATCCTTCGCACAGACTGTCAATGTTATTTTAATGATTTCCAAAGCCTTCGGAACAATTTTATGGATAGCAGTTCACAAAAAAAATAGTACTTCGGAAAGATGTATGTATACATCTGTGGGCAATTAAAACACTGGCTGAGCGAGACGTTTATATACGTCGGAATGACTTAAGATGTTAAAGTCGTATCGTGTAGACTTAGCATCGAAGTACAGTTTTATTGAGTTCAATACATCCTTATTGTATGGAAGGGGGCGCGATGCAAATTATGATTGAATATTGGGTAGTAAACATTGAAAGTTTGAGAAGCACTGTCTTATACATAACTTCCATAAAAGAAAGGAATTGACGATTGCCAGATCGATATAGAAGGGAAACATTTGATACAACCATTTCCAGGAGCAGCATCGCCCAACAGCGTATGTACACAATATATACTACACATTCTGGTGATATCAAAAGTGTTTATAACCCCAAATACACTAAAAAATAAACAAGGAAATGAAGGGTAGCACGCTGGAAAAAATGGCTTCAGGATATTGACAAAGGGGGGGGGGAAACAAAAGGGGTACGAGCTTATAATTTTTTTAAAAAAAATTCTGAAGTTATATTAGAAAACCAAACCGTAGAAAAGAAAATATATGGGTAAAACAGCTTACTATAGACATTTGAAAATAAATGTATTTGGTGGTAAATATACTTACCATGGCCTTAGAAAGGGTGAAATCGTCCCTACTAGGCAAATCATCAGCTGACGTAGCACATATTCAAGTAGTTCTCCTAAAATATTATTGAGATTTATATAGAAGAGTAACAATCCTTTAAATGAAATATTAAATAATATTTATTATCATGTTTATTTTTTTTCAAGCATTTTATCTTAACGTAAATGAATTGAGTTATTTTAATGGTTTGTAACATTGCCACCAATTTTGATGATTCGCAATAAAATTATATGCCTCGTTTTCGAATAAAAGTCTAAATTAATATAAATTCGAAGTAATTTGTTATAAAAAAAGGGATCAAATATTAGAAATTGGGATCGACAATCTTGTAACTGAAATACATGATAAAATAGTAAAGTTGATTTTATCAAAATAAACAAGAAATTAATACTCGGAATTGCTAAACTTCAGTTTGTTATCTGTTTTACGCTCTCATATGTATATAAATCTTGTGGATGCCATAAATGTCAATTCATTACTAAAAGAACAAATGAAACTAGTACGAGGAATGACAATTTAAATATATTCTTCTTGAATTTGTGGAAATCCAAATTAAAGAGATGAGACTTTACGGTTTTGCTGGATGAAGAAGAGGGGGGAAAAAGATGGGAGAACGTATATGTCGTTAACACAAAGCTCACCATCACAATTCTTTCTTTTCCAATCGAAGTGAGATGTAGGAAACAAAAAAGGGAAAAAATGGAAGAAAATTTGGAAGATTTTCGCAGATTTGCTGTTGGGCAATAATTGTAAGCCTTGACCTGTCTGGAATCGAAATTACCTTGGCAAAGAAGTTGTCTGGTTGAGGATCATTAAATCGGAATCCTCTTGAGAGTAAAAAAAAGGAGTTTCTCAAAGAAATCGTTAACTTACTTTTATGAGTCGCAAGAAAAAGCTGAATATTGACCTGTGTTTTTCTCATCGTCTCTTCTTGACAATTTTATATCATTTAAAGCTAATGGCAGGAAATACATAAACATTTTGGACTTCTATTTATAATGCCGCGTATTTTTACTCTTAAAACTCTTTGCATATTTATGGCTGTAACATTATATATTTCTCATCTACATCGGAATTTTATGAGCTCTATGAAAATTGAGTTCCATTAATTGTACCTGTATTAGAAGAGATGGATTTAAATTTTTAAAAAATGCGTTAGAATATTGTGTAAGTGACTCTATTTCTGTCGATTTATATAAAAACGCTCCAAACTAAAAGATCTTAGTTTAACCATTAAATTTGATCACAAAATAATAAATAAAATAAAGTTTAAAAGAAACGAAATTATTCTTATTTAAATCAATTTTTCAAAGGAAAGAAATAAAAGGGAAATGGGGAATTTTTCCCACTCTTGCTCTATAAGTAAATATGTACAGCTGAATATATTTAATTCTAACATTCTAACCGTTGTATTCTAAAAAGAAATGTGGAAATGTCCCCATTAGAAAGCAGAAGAAAGTTATCTACAATCAAATTCACAAATACTATACGAAGCCTACCGAATAACCATATTTCCTGCAGAACTTTCAAAACGTGGAGCGACAAATCTAAGCTTAAAAGATCCTCAACCTTGCAATAAGATCAGGAAATCAGTAGAGACATCACCTCCAGCACGAGTCACTTGATATTTCGAAAGAACCTTCACACACGCTGCATGTTCACGCGCAGACAAAGGTAAACCTTAACCTCCTACAACAGTGTTTCTCAAACTGTGGGGCGCGCCCCCTAGGGGGGCGTGTTAACTCTACGAGGGAGGCGCGAACATATTGAAAAGGCGAAAACAAAAGATTATTTTAAAAAATTATTAATTTGCTGAAAGTAAACAAACAAAATACATTCTGACACAATAAAAAATAAAATACACATTTACACTGATATAATACATTTATAAATGTATCAGTACTGTACAACATATTTTTTAATTATAGTTTAACAATAATAAGTTAAAAATAAGTTGAATAATTACCAGTGACCCCATTGGCTTGTATTAATACTTATCTTGAAAATTTGTACGGCCTACAATTAATCCCTTAACTGCCGATTAAAAGTTGCGCGATTCTCTCCCCAATGCCACCATTTTCCACGTAGACACTCGAATATAATGG